TATACATATATGTATACAATAGTTGTATGAACGGTAAGACAACGGTCGTATAGGTATGACAAGTATGGACAACAATTTGTATATTTGTATGATTAAGATAAGGCGAATAGCCATTGAACAAAACTTTTGAGATACTGAAAAATAGACAAACGATGGGTTGATCGACATTCCAGTAGTATAAAGGGAATTAAAAAAAAAGGATAAAAAGTAGAACACAAAACAGGATATTGTATGGGTTTTTTGTATATTTTATTTTGAAGGGCGCTTTTGGCCAAAATTTAAATGACACTCAGCAAAATGGGGCCCATTAATCATTGGAAAAGGTGCTCTCACCTGTCGACCGGCAAACAATTCAATGGAAAGAATATCGCTAATGGGATCTTTTTTTCATGAAAAAGTGTTTAAAAAAAAAAACAAAGACCTCGACGATTATTTTTCACATTAAGCCTTTTAGAGAGAGCAACAAATGGTACAGGGATTTTTACGAGAAATATTCTGAACGAGACGCATAAGTTGATATTTTAAAATTTGATAAAAACGATGGCAAATACATATAATGATATTAGAATAGTAAAAATTAAATTATTTAAGAAATCAATAATTCATAATTATAAATTATGATAAAAAAATATTAAATATTATGAAATTAAGCCCTAATTAAATAATTTACTTAGGACTGGAATTCAAACATTGTATTAAACAATTAAACTACTGATCTCTGATAGATATATTATAACACAATGACAAACAAACTGGTTGATAACTTTTAAACAAGTACAAAAAAATTAAATTTTTATTTCGATTGCAATTATTAATAGAGCTTTTTTAACGGCAAGTTAATATTATTCGAACAAATTAAATCAGTACTCAAATAAATTATGCACAGAAGCGTGAAGAATACAGATAAATGATTTTGGTTGAATTAAGTTAAGTGAATAACAGTGTGTTCGGAATGAGAATTAGTCTTTCGAAGAAACTTGTTGTTTATGCAATAACATGCAAACATTTTTTTCATACTTTTAAACAAATATTTTTACTGGAATGTACTAGCTATAACTAAAATAATTTAAGTTAAGTACTATAAACCTTAATATTTATTAACTCGTTAAGATAAGGAAAGTAGTAAGAAATAATTCATAAAAACAATTTTCATAAAATAAATTTTCTCTATATCTAACCACGATTATCATTGGCAAAATATATACGTTTAATACATTTTTAAATGCACATTCTATCTTTGAATGTACGACTATGAGTTCTTAAAAAAATGTTTATTTATAAAATGATATGATGACTATTATGAATAGGCAAATATGTATTATAATACATAGACTTTGTAACTACGATTTTGTCCGATGAAAGTAAAAAAAAAATCAGGTTGAAACTTTATTTGAAGTCTTCTCGGATAGTTTAATATTTTAATCAGCACTCCTTGCAACTGACAGTGACCCCAGGGATCTATTAGGGATAGCCACCGTTTCCGTTACTAAAATTCAGATTTTAATCAAAGCTCCACGATTTTTTATTTTCACTCGTCTTTACAAAATATTCTTAGTACCTAACTCTATTTGCTGGATTGGCTTAATTATGTACAGTAGAAGTCTTAGAAGTAAAATATTAACTTTTGAAAAAAACTTTTTAAAAAAAAAGTAATTAACAACTTGAAAGAGTTGTATATAAATGCGTAAAATTAATTGTTATTTAATCAATATATAATATGGTTGTTAACAGTATTTACTCGAATCATAATTGTCTGCAAACGGTCTTGGTCCATACAAGTAATTGCTATCAATTCTCATTTTTGGCGATGTCGTCGGTATAGAGCAAAAACCCTATTCCACACGATTACGTTTAAATCTCCAAAAATACGATGGACTTACATAGGTGTCATGGGAGGTATGGGAATGAAAATATCGTTCGAACGCAGGGTGGCAAAGTTAAGAGGCATTCCGTTGATAAGCAATCAAGTGTAGAGAGAACATGAAAGTTGGTAAAATGCCAAGCCATTACTTCTCGGGAGGTAAAATACGCAGCCTGAATCATTTGTATGACACAAAAGGAAACGCGAGAAAAAAAGAAAGAGAGGATAGATAACTGTTTTTTCTCCATTTTCTTTTGCGGAATAGCGCCAACTGTGTTGTGTACGGTGAATTAAGAGCGGAGGTGTGGTACTTTGTTGTGATCCTTTTCTCGTTTAGACATAATTACCAACCGAGGTTGGAAAAAAAAACTAGTCGATAATTGTGGTCAGGAAGCTGTTAATACTTTTTATTTAATTGAAAACTGTTTAAAGTAATTAATAGGACATGGTATTGGATACGATGCCTGTGGAAAATATGTATGAATAATTCAAAGAACTAAACATTTTTATCACAAAATTAATAATAATAATTAACTATTCAACGGTATTTACTTAAAAAATATAACTTTACTACAAACGTATTATAATTTTATAGAAGCAAATTATTTTTAAAGTGATTTTTGAAATTAATTTTTCATTTAGAAATGTATTTCTGTTATACATATTTATTTAATTATTTAATGGGGATAATGCCCAATAGAATAGTAAGGCAGAATACACAGTAACTATATGCAGGGATAGTAATTAAATAATACAACACAGTTAAATAATTAACAACAATTAAAGAAAAACCAAATTAATTAATTATAAACAGATGGTAGAAATAATAAAAAAACAGTATAATAATAATAGGACATTTTTTTAAGAAATCTTAAGAGCTCCTTCTCCAGACGCATCATTTGGTGAATGGGGTGGTTTCTACCATAAATTTAGTATGTGAAAACTCTGTGAAAAAAAAATAGAGCTAGTGGAATGTGATGGTACTCTACACTTTAATTGGGAGAGGTGAAAGGAAGCATCGACTCATCAATCCGATAATATATTGAACCATGTTCATAATAAACACATTTTATATATCATATTGGTATTACATATCAAAAAAAATATTTTACTAATTGTTCAATGATATTATTGATATTACAAATAATTAATATTGAATTTGATTAAATAATGTGTGATACAAACATAAAAAAATATGTAAAATATTATTAGGTACAAATATTATTATTATTTTTAAAACTTAAGTCAAAAATTAAAAATCCATTTTCGTATGCTAGTTACAAATAATGTTACCTAATCAGAGACAACAAAGTAAGCTACCACGTTCCTTCAGCATGATTTACTCGCACATTTTGTTTTTAGCTAAATTATACACAAAATCGAAATTCTAGAAAGTTTTAAACATGTTAAGTCAGGTGAATTATTGTGCACCAATTACTCACAACCGAGAATCTAAATTTACCACGTTAAAAAAATGTCACAATAGAGCTTTATTCTTTTATTTTAGTTGGTTAATATTAATTTCGTGTAGAAATACCACGCAATGAAAAATGAAAACTCTTAGCGATATCTTTACCAAATGAAATATGCGTCCCAAGAGGTCTTGCCGAGTATTAATCCCAGCTAATGAAAAAAGCTATTGCTTCGGTTAAATAAGGGCCAGGGTAGGCTACAAAAACTTTTATACACAGCTGGTTTAATTTCTTATGAGTTTAGCCTTTAGACCAGACCTGCAGGACCATTATTTACTTTTGAAGATGCGCACAGCACATTATCGACGACGTGATCGTGATTTTTAGTGGCAGTTCATTTAGGTATTGTAAGTACTCGTATATTATACATTCTTAAGTAGTATGTAGTTAGTATGCATAAACTGGGTAAACTAAGTTTTGGTTCATTAGAAAAATGTATACGACGTAGTTTCATTTGCTCATAAATAGTTTAGAAACGAAAAACATTTTGTGTTACCGTTATAAAACTTGACGTGACGTGTTCGTTACTTCGTTATGGTATATCATTATTCATTGGCATTAATTTTCCTTCGTACATACGCGTACCTAGTAGCTGCGATTTTGAAATATTAATGGGGACTATTAAATCGATCGTAGATAAATTGCTTGGTTCAAAATAAAAGTGCAAAATAAACCATTGAATAATTGTAGTAAATAGAAACAGCATATGCATATGATAGAACTTGTTGATAAAATAATGTATTGAGTAGCAAACATCCGATTTGAAGATTCGATATCAATCGTTAGAGTAATTCATACCAGTTATACGCTCCGTATACACGGTTTATCGGTAAACATTTATAGCACAATATTATTCTACCCGCAGTAAACCCATTAAAACCAGCAATGAGTGAAAATTAATTTCGAATACACAATTGCATAAGTTAGTAGAACATTTAGTTGTTCTAATGATCACTTTCCCTTAATAAACATACGAGGTTAAAAGCCCCAACAATAGGCGTTGATAAATATTTGTTGAATTTTAAATTGTATTTAATAAACCGTAGTTTTACACATTTCTAAACAAGGATAATGATTTAATTAAAATATTATTTCAAAAATAATTTAACGGATATTAAAAATAAAAATTTATCTTACCAAAGGATTTATTAAATAAAAGTTGTGGTCAATTTAAGAGGTTGTCGTGTTTGTTTTCTCTTTGACAAACGCGGCCAAGCAGAACATGGCAAATCAGCTTCAGCTGTAGGTACCAACCTTGTAGATATACCTGAATATTAGAGTGAATTCACCTATTATCAAACTCAAAAGATGCATCCGAGTTAGGACGGAAAATAATTTTTTTTTTTGCTTCACACGCCATTCAGAAGCTTAGCAGTTTCTACCATAGCTTTCCAAACTTCTTAATCTTCTGCATCCACAACACTAGCTCCAATTCTTATAATTTTTTTTCAAATTATAAGTATGTAAAATATTACAAATTAAAAATTCACAAATCCCACTTTCACTCTCTCTGAATAGTGAGCTGACGTCAGCCCTACGTTAAATAGTGCATTAAACCTCGACACTAAGTCCTTCAGTTTACAACGAGTCTAAAAATTATTTAACCAATGTACTTAAATATTAATAATTATTTTAATAGTATGTTTAACAAAATAATATGTAGGGTATTATGGTTTGAAATAATATTGTAGATATTTCTTAACCTGAGCCATTTGATTATGTAAGTACCTAATAAAAAATGTATAAATACCTTCACTGTCGATTGAGAAGTAACCTAGACCATCACCGTCTACAATTGAATATCCAACTCTTGACACGTCTCCAGGAGGATCTGCGTCGGTAGCACTCACTCTGGTAACTAGAGTCCCAGGTGGTTCGTTTTCATCAACAAATGCAGTGGCATAAAAACTGCCGAACTCAGGAGCGAACATGTTTTCGTTTACATCCACAATTTCTATTATTAACCATGTTTGTGAAGATAAATAGGGCATACCACCATCTACTGCACTCACAATTAGTGTGTGTACTTGTCTCTGTTCGAAATCTAATTCACTCGTTGTTCGGACAGTTCCGGAAATGGAATCGATTTCGAACGTTTTTTCGTCCACTTCTGATGAAGAATCTGATTCTAATGAGTACGACACTATTCCACCTTTGCCGAGATCAGGATCAACTGCAGTAACGATTGCAACAACGCTACCAATTGGCAAATCTTCCAAAGCCTTGACGGTGTAATTTTGTACGAGAAATTCTGGAGCGTTGTCATTCACATCGTCAACAATAATGCGTATCAAAGCTTCTGTGTGTAAAGTCCACGGTTCAGTAGCACAGTCCGAGACGGTAACTTTCAGTTCGTATAGTTCTTGGCGTTCTCGATCCAAGCGACCGGATACATACAGATTGCCTGAAGTTTTGTCAACCGAAAAATGAGTTGTGTCCGTGGTCAATGTATAAACTATCCTACCGTTTTCTCCTTGATCAGGATCTTGAGCATTTATTTTGAATATTACTGTCCCGTTTCGAGCATTTTCACTGACTCGAAAACTAGAAACTCTTTTATCAACTTTGGGAGCATTGTCGTTGACGTCTAGAATTATAACTTTCAGTAACTTCCACGTAGTGTGTTGTGGTTTACCGAGATCAGACACTGTAACGTTTAATTCATATTCATCTCTTGTTTCTCGATCTAGATATCCTACTACATTTAAATCACCGGTTTCTGGGTCGATTCTGAACAGGGAATCGTCGTCACCATCAGAGACACCATACACTAATTTTCCGTTGTAACCTAGATCTCTATCTCTGGCACGAATAGCTAGTATCGTATATCCTAATGGCACAGACTCATTAACTTGTACAGCACTAGGGAAATTCACCAACTCGGGCTTGTGTACATTTTCTCCATACCTGCTTGGCATCATGGCAAAATCATCATCTTCACCGATATTGTTCTTTTTTGCAGTTTCAATGGCGTCATTCAATCTACGAAGTACTCCCGTTTCTCGGCATTCGATATTGATTGAATCATCAGCAGCCTGTGTTTTTTTCGCGTTCACTAATGTTATATGTAAACTTGTCAGGTCTGAATAATGCGAACCGTCAGTGGCAGTGATTTTTACGGTACGTTCTTCCATACCTATGTCAGAAAGGTCACAAGTTACTGAAAGTACTCCCGATGATGACTCGATTGAAAAACAATTGTCTTCATTGCCTGATTCGACCCGATAGCTTATAAAATTACCATCATCAAAATCTACAGCAGACATAGTCATGATTTCTTTACCTATGACAGTAAATCTAGGAACTTGTATTTTACAATCAATTTTTTCAAACTGCGGTCTGTTGTCATTCACATCTTTCAGTTTAATCACTAACTTCATTTCAGTTTGTCTCCTGTATGGATATCCCCAATCCGATGCTCTAATATGAAGCACATATTCCCTTCGCATAGTTTCAAAGTCTAAAAGATGAGTTGTTTTAATGAGTCCGGTGAAATGATCAATATCAAAAGGCACAGGTTTTAAATTAGCAATACTATAGGATATATAACCATTTTCACCTGAATCTTTATCACGTGCACTTATTTTTACAACAGATGTACCGGCAGGTTCGTTTTCATTGATGGATACTTCCATAAGATATTTTTCAAACAGAGGATCATTGTCGTTAGCATCAACAACAAATATTTTGACCTTTGCGGCGGATTGTTTTCTACTTCCAGCGTTTCCTTGATCAATAGCACTGACTGTGAGAGTATAAGATGATCTATGTTCAGCATCCAGAACTACAGCCGTGTAAAGCATACCTGTCCGTTTGTTTATTCGAAACTCTCCACCTTCATTACCACCGACGATTTCTAAAGACACTTGTGCATTTTTACCTTCGTCTTTATCACTTACTTTTAATTTAATAACAGGCGAATTAACTGGTGCGGTTTCAGCGATATTTACTTCATATAGTTCACGTTCAAACACTGGAGCATTATCGTTAACGTCGGCGAGTTCTATATGAATCGACCTGTAAGTATCTCTTTCAGGCGTTCCTGAATCAACTGCTCTAAGAGATAGATTATAACCTTTTGGAGCCGTTTCTCTATCCAACATATTGAGGACGACAATATTATATTCACCACTATGTCCAGTTTCTTTAATTCTGAAATGACCATCAGGATCACCATCAACAATTTCCAAGCTTCGTATAATACCATTTACTCCCGAATCTCTATCTGTGACTTTGATGATTGCGTATATGTCACAATTAGATTCCTCGACCACGTGTGGTAAATGTTGGATAAAAATATCGGGACTATATATATTGACTTGTTGGATGTTGAATTTTACTTTCGCACTACTTGGTTTAGAACGTCCTCGAATGCCCCGATCTCGAGCTTCAACGACAAAGTCGTACGATCTTCTGTCTTCAAATCTTAACGATCTAGTAATTGTTATGACACCAGTTCTCGGATGCATAGCAAACTGATTGGTTTTTTCTTTAAAACTATAGTATATTTCACCATTCATTCCAATGTCAGCATCTTCAGCTGAAACTTTTAGAACACTAGAATGGAGTGGCGTATCTTCTGGTATAGTTTTTTCATATATAACCGGATAGAATAAGGGACTTAAGTCATTGGTATCAAGCACGGTTACAACTAAAGCAGCATGGAGTTCTAACGAAACACTATTTTTTTTTTTATCTTTTGACTTGTCGGTAGAAGTTGTAACTGTAGCTTTGACTTCTAAGACATATTCATCTTGTCGTTCTCTGTTCAGAACATCGTAATCAGTCTTTGTTCGAACTAAAAGGAACCAAAAGTTTCCGATCTTCTTTTCTTCAGCCTTGAAGAATTTGATCTTTTGTTGGGATGCTATCTTATAACGTACGATAACGTCGTCATCTGAACAATATATGCCCATTTTTTCTTCCGTTCTGACATACGTTTTGATAAGAGCATTCTCTGGAATCGTTGCATTGTAATGATCTCTGGTAAAATGTAATTCGGCCAGACTTCCATTTTTTAAAGTGGAGAAGCAGCTTGATACCAGGAATAACGTAACTAATATCAGAGGCTTAATAAACAGTTCCTTGAAGCCTGTTCCCATGGTAGTTACTCGCGGGACGTTCTTGTCATCTTATTAGGTTGACTCGTTTTGATATTCTGCACATTTTCCTGAAAACAAATTGTAATTAAAATAAAATATTATAACATAGCGTAACGTTAATAATATCAAAACATGAATATCAGAATAAAAAACAAAACATTGAATAATAGTATCACAGAATTAAATAAATAATATTTTCAATTTTATATAGAATATAGATGTTCAATTTTATTTTATAAACTATAACATTAAAATATTAATAAACTATAAATAAATGAAAAGTTTGTGATGTCTACGGAAAGGGTTTCAACTTCCGGAGAGGCAATAACGAATTGTGTTGACCCTATTATACTGGGACAAAGCCAAAGAATAATAAAAACTACGGAAAACGTCAAGATGGCAAAGAATGCACATTGTTACTAGAGTATTTCATCGGGGATAAAATATAGACAGACATGTATGAGAGTTCAAAAATTAATTTTAAAAACTATCATTTATATCAATTTAAAAACAGAATAATATATTATTATAGGAAAAAATAATAATTAATCAAAACTTTTCTGAAGGACAATTTTCTGGAAAGAACAATTCAATTAACCTAATGTATACATTTCTATATTCAACCTGCACTGAATATATTTTAAAATGTTAAGAACCACAAGAGTTAATTCAGAGCCTAAGAAAGTTTGTTTTTTTTTTTCTTTTAGCGCAGAGACGAAATTGTATTTCTATAAAATGGGGGTGCAAGCGCATCGAGTCCGCAACAGTAACACTGTTTACAATTACCGACCAATTGTTCTGCCAGGGTACTTGAACAATGAACGTTTCTCCTGCGCGTTTAAGATGTTGCTTTGTATTTTAAAGACCAGATTGGAATTTTAAATATCATCACCGGTTTTATTCAGGACCTCATCATCAGGACTTATACAAAATATATGTTTACCATATCGAAACGAAACTCAAAGTCAAGAGGGTTTTCGACGTTTTTGTATTATATATTTTTAGATACTTATATAAAATGCGGTATATTATAGGAACCTAAAAAACATCCATTAAGTTATATGTAAGGGGCGTTGTACGCGAGGGTTTATCCAATACAATAAATTAAACTTATTTATGTACCAGCTATTACATTTCATGTTTAATATAAAAATATTAATTGTATATTGAACAGAGTATAGAGCCCATAAATGTATTATTACCACTTCTTATAATGTCGCGGTTATTGATAGTATCTTTCAATATAAAAATAAATTATTTTTGGTTGTTTATTGAACATAAAATATTTAACGAAATAAGTCAAACATAGAACGCTATGCTAATAGTAAAACACTAAGAAATGTATTTAGATAAATAAATGTTAAAATAAAAAGTCAACCTAATATTGTTGTCAAATTAAAGAATTTACTATCAAAATAAAAATCAAAGAAATATAAATTAAAAATTGAATGTACAAATAATACTAGTGACAATTTGATTACAATTTACTTAAGGTTTAGTTTTGTAAAATTAATCATATAATAATCTTAAAAAGTGTTTTGTGTTGAACTTTGCCACTTTGTAACAGTTTTTGCTTAAAACAGTTAATGGATGAAAAAAAATACGTTTCCACGTCTCTTCTCGCACGTTTTTATATTACATTATTATAATTTATGTGACTTGTTTCCTTCTTTCGACCTCATCACAACCGTACTATCCGGTCATAATAATATATCATTGTACTGGGAATGGGCCCCTAGTTACACCGAGTACAGGTCGAAAGAGAGAAACTTGCGCTTTTCATATTTCTCTACCACCCTACCAGCCGATCTATCTTGTCCCTAACACTACACACTGGAGAATAACGTAGTTTTTATGTACTTCACTAAGTCATTATCGGTATTTGTTTTCTTGAGTGGTAAAACACTATAGTCGTCTAAAACCTACTAATCACGGCAACAATACACGTACAATTGTTTAATTGTAAATTATAATCGAGTTAATAAGTAAAAAATATTATTTCTAATAAAAATAATAATAGTTCTAGAGACAAGATCAAAAAATCCGAAAATGATTCAGCTAAATAATTTTAAATTGCCCGTTATTGTTAATTACAAAAAAACTTCAATTATATATGTGAACTTATCTAATACTGACTTATATAATAATATAATATATATATATATATATATATACAGGGTGATATTTTTATCATTGAACACTCATTATTTCAAAAAGTATTAATGTTTAAGAAAATATTTTTTTACATAGTTTCAAGTTGTTAAAAAACAATATTTTTATTAAAAAATTATATTTTTAAATATTTTTATCCTTTTAATTTTTAAGTTTTTTACTTTTTTGAATGACAACATGTAATTTTAATTTGATATTCAAAAACAGAATATTTTTCTGAGTATTTCGATACATAAAAATTGAATTTAGGGCAATTAGTTTATGAGTTATAAGTATTTAAAGTTTGATGAGCGGAGTAGTGGACAAACATTTCGCGGGGTAACCCCGTACCACTCTACTCCGCTCATCTAAACTTTAAATACTTATAACTCATAAACTAATTGCCCTAAATTCAATTTTTATGTATCGAAATACTCAGAAAAATATTCTGTTTTTGAATATCAAATTAAAATTACATGTTGTCATTCAAAAAAGTAAAAAACTTAAAAAATTAAAAGGATAAAAAATATTTAAAAATATAATTTTTTAATAAAAATATTGTTTTTTAATAACTTGAAACTATGCAAAAAAATATTTTCTTAAACATTAATACTTTTTGAAATAATGAGTGTTCAATGATAAGAATCACCCTGTATATATATATATATAGCAGGTAAGTTCTCAAATTGCAATTGATACCTAGACTTTAGTACAGAGAACCGCAGTGACTTGTTATTGAACCACGATGTTCTATTAATCGAATAGAAATTACCGGCTCTAATTAATTCGTTCAAATGGATTGAAAGTACACTTAACAGTAGAATATATCCATCCGAATCCTTCTAAAATGTACTCTAACAATCAGAGTTAAAGTTATAAGACGGACTTCTATAATATAGGTATTATCTTAAGATTACAATAACAAATAAAATACCTACATAAATATCAAAATGCAATAATTGGTAAGGTAATATTCCATTTCAAATTATTTATTCTATAAAATGAAATTCAATTTCATAATAAACCACACCTTTTAATTTTAATATAATATAATGTTTAGTAGGTACCTATGTTTTATATTATAATCAAATCAAATTGGTATTATAGTAGAAAATATACCTACCTACACGATTTACAGAGCCAAAACCCCTCGATGTCTATGAATTATTACCAATAAGACTACGTATTATATTTATTAGTTGTTTCTCAAACTTTCACTCGCCATGCATAGCATAAAAGTAATTCTATTTCGTAAGTAATCATAATTTTTTTAAGGAGCTTTGTTATATTTTTTATTGCTGTTTTAATCTGTTGAGAATATTTCAGTGTGATAATATAAAAATGTGCTCATCTTACATCTCAATGATTCTTGGAGAAATTATTAGAATATGATGTATTTCTACATAAAATTAAGAGCTGAGATAACAGGCGAGTCACTTTGTAAAAAAAAATAATGATAAATATTAACAAATACCTAACAATTATGTAAATAATTAAAACCAATTGATAAACTATTGACGAAGATTTTACGGAGGTGTATTGTTCGCGATTTCTTTTGGATAATAATATAATAATATAATAATATATATGTCACGTCCAAAACTTTATAAAGCTACACGAACAACGCTTTTGGAACAATTGTAAAACGATTCGCACACATTCAGCCCGCGGTGTAGCGCCTCCGCACCGTTAATCAGCTTTGAGTTTTATATTATATTGGTTTTGTTGTACACGGCACTACCTCGTTCGTTGTTAATAATTGCGTCAGTATTACATTTAACTTGTTAAGTTTGAAATTTCGGAAACTACGGTTGAATCAAGAATGTACGAACTGTGAACTTAGAATCTTTAAAACACCAGTTAAAGCGGTCGAATCACATTAAAAGTACCGATCGAAGAGCAAATAGTTCATCATTCTGATGTGCCAATTACATAATGTAGAAAAAAACGATAGCCGCTCAATAAATTAACACGAGAGGTAATATATACACGATACGCATACAGTTTATACATAATTTATTACATATTTCGGGTCTTCTATGTTCTAAGAGTTATTCGGGTTTGAATAATAAAAAAATAATGTCCATGGCCGGAACAATTTTTCTACCCTATTTCGCAAAAGTAATTTATTTATGAGTACTTTTGTATAAGATTTGTATTTTGCAATTTTGTATAACACGGAGTATATTAATTGGTGGCACCCATTATTTTAACGATTGAATAATTTTAAGAGTATATATTTTCATTCGTATACATATTATATATTAGTTATTTACATACAGTACCACTATATAAAAACATAATTACATAAAACTAATTTTTAATTGTTAACTTGGAGAATTTGTAATAAAATATATAGTAGGTATTATAGTAAATAGAGGTAGGTTTAAATTAATAATTAAAACGTTATATATTAAAGAACTTTTGGATTCATATTGAAAACTTGTACTGTAGCCAGATTTTAAGTAATATTTACATTCAAATATGTTTGGTTGAGTTATAGTTTTCAAACTATGCTGATAATTATATTTAAGGTAAAAAAAAAAAACTTCCTGTAATTAATGTTAAAATAAAGCTTTTACGAAATAGTTAGAATTGATTTAATTTGAATATGTTTTTGGTTTAATATAGATGTTCAATTCGAATTATAAATAAAATAGTTATAGTCTATAGGTTTATAATATACATTAATTACACTATAATAACCATAGCTCCTTAATAAATGATAATTAATTGCCTACTGTTACCTCCTTAATACCATAGATTATAATATAAATGTTTATTTATGAATACAACAATATCAGGTCAAAAATGTACACGTACACACACACACACACACATATTTTAGT